TGTGTGTGTGTGTAAATGAAGTCTGCAGTCATGAACTTGTCATTCTCTCACTCTCTCCAGGATTCCTGGTGCGTCAGACTGTAATAAACGCGTGTCGGAGGAAGCGTCTCGAGAGCGACTCTTACAGCCCGCCACACGTGCGGCGGAAACAGAAAATCACAGAAATCGTGAACCGCTACCGTAACAAGCAGCTAGAGCCCGAGTTTTACACCTCGCTGTTCCTGGAGGTCAGAGAGACGAGCCTCAACCCGTAAACCAACACAGACCAACACAAACCAAGGTGGATTTCATCTGCGCTGGAGTTGGCGGTTTTGAATCATTTTTTTAATGTCGATTTGGCCAAATCCTCGCTCAACTCTAGCTGTTCACTATCAGTGCCCACCTGACAGGAGGATTATTGGTCCAGATCTTAAAATCGATCCTTTATGTCTCCTTTGAATCTCATAAAAAACCGGTCATGGTTATACAGTATTTCACCCCACAATAAATAAATTACACACACACACATATATATATATATATTACATAAACAAAATGAAGCGTGTTTTTAGAGATTCTTGATCATTACGAGTTTTTCTGACATTATTTTCAGCACATTTCCTCCCCAAATTGTTAATACATATATTTTTCAAGGAAACCCACACGCTACCTCAATTGGATTGGTATTCCCACAAAAAAATAAATTACACACACACACATATATATATATATATATTACATAAACAAAATGAAGCGTGTTTTTAGAGATTCTTGATCATTACGAGTTTTTCTGACATTATTTTCAGCACATTTCCTCCCCAAATTGTTAATACATATATTTTTATTTATAATAAATATTTTTACATTTAATAAATAATAATAATTTATAAAGAATAATTTTCATTTCTCAAATGTGATTTTCATTACTGCAATACCACAAAAATACTGTAGCACAATCTTTTTTTTATTTAAAATGTCATAATTAATAGGCAGTACAACAAATACCACCATGATTTAAATCATTATTTTTTGCATTTATTTTTTTTGCATTTATATATTTTTTTGCATTGCATTGCAAAAAATGTTAATTCAGTCTTAAAAACAGGCTTTATTTTCTTCATGTAAATATCATTTTGTATTTCTTGTGATTTCGGAGAGAAATATGACTCGTAGACCGGTTTACTGAGACTCACCCTGTTACTGTACTTCACAATGAATGACATTACTTCATCATGTTTATTATCTGAAGGAACGTCCTCACATGAAGCCATCTCCTCTAGAAGCACTATGAAAATGAACACTAAACTCCAGCAGCCAATGATCTGATGCCGGTCGCTTCTTCCTCTTCCTCTTCAGGTCATGCATATCACTCTTCATCATGTAGTTCAGTCCGCTCACTTCAGCGGAAAGTTGTTTCAGTCTACAGACGATGAGGAGCGAATTATATGTATGTATTTTGATGGTTTAAACTGCTAAAAGTAGACAAACTACTGAGTACGGAGCGATTTTCACCATAATGCTACTTTACTTCCACTGTAATGCATTTCAGTCGAAAGACATTTTAAGGGTTTATCTTTTATTTAGTGTTCCTGACTCTTTCACATTCGCTACATTTCAGAGTTTAAATCATCAAATCAAGCTGAATTCACCTTTTTAGCAGCATGCTCTAGAAAGCACTACAGAGTAACCCATTCCTGTATTTATTTATTTATTTCAGTTGTCCATTATGAAATGCCTTTAAATGCAGACGTCACCCAAACACAGAGCCAGTTTTGATGTCCGGTTATGCATAATAATAATTCTGGAAGAGATTTGCACGTCACGTCCCATTTTTGTGGTCAGAAGCTCCCTATTAACGCTGCGTTTCTTTTGTAAGAACAAACTGTAAAGGACGGTTGCTCGGAGGTGTGTAAATATTGACGGCATGGACTTTGTATAAAGTTTGACTTTCTATGTAAATATACGCGGGTGTGAAGTTCTGCTCACTCATCTTATACTATTGATTAGGCACGGCACAACAGATGAACACTTGTTTGTATTCATGCCATCATATATGTGTCCAAACGAAACATTGGATATTGAATGTAACACATGTAATGGAATAAAGATTTTAATGAAATTCTTATCATGTAACGGCTGCGACTGCTTTGCTGGGAGTGTTTTTATTCAGTTTTTCACCTGGACAGAAGTTGTCTGATGCGAAGGCAGCTCTTTATGGAGATAAAACCCGGTTATTACCCAACAATCATCTTGCACACTGGTTTCCATGAATAGGATACAAAATAGAGGTTGAAAATGAAGTCAAAATTTAACAACAAGAGGTCAGTGAATGAAGCGGCTTCACCTGCAGAAAATATTGATCATACTTCTCAGTAGGTTAAAATACTGTGCATGCGTTTGTGTGTTTTATATGAGGTTTGTAGTTAGTAATATGAATTATTGAGACACTGATAAAAACAATTAATTTTTTTTTTAATAATTTAAAACCCTGATTTGTGTTGGGTTATTTGGTAATAACTAATTGAGATGATTTACTTTAATCTTACAATTTTATGCCGGTAATTTTATGTTATATCATAGTTTATCCAACTAACCTAATGGATATTTTTCCAGGGAACGTGATATATTTATATTTACAGTTATATTTATGCCTCATTAGTAGTTTATGCTCAATTAATAGTTCAGCCATAGTTCAAAAATCTTAACTGTAATTTAAAAACAGTTTTAAATTATTATTTTTACTGGAAAAAATGGGAACAAATATTTTACATTTCTATTAGACTGTTGGCGAACACACACATACATATACATATATATATTTACTAAAATATATATTTTATGGCGGTTGGTGTTAAAGAATTGTGTTATAATAAACCCTACAAATACAACTCATTATATACACCATAAACACTAAAGGAGACAGACATGTAGATGTTTGTGAAAGATGTTTTCTCTGTTTTGGAGGAATGATTATTCTTAAATCATGCCCTATTTATTGCATCAAAATTTGTTAATACTTTACTATATTTAAGGGTGGATAATTTTATCAGTTGTTTATTGCAACAATACATAACTACAATAACTTTGTCTAGTGCTCTTATGAAAGTCATAGACTTCTTCATGGCTAGTTTCATTTCTTTCTGTAACCCACTTGTTCTACAGATCTGTGTGTACTAGTGTTAAATGCTTCTGTTTTTGACATAATGTTTATGACAGATAATATCATGATAATTTTTGCGTTTCTCTTACCGAATGTCGTATCCTGTCAGCAAAAACCTGTCCATGGGCTTTTTTGATTGCTTTCAGTTTAAGAACACCGGCCATGCAGTGTTGCCAGATATTGATACTAAAACAAACAAAAAACTAAAAATAAATCAAAATAAACCAAAATTATTTCCAATCTTTTTTTAAATAAGATAAGATAAAGATAGAAGTCGCTGGGGTATATTTGTAGCAATAGCCAAAAATACACTGTATGGGTCAAAATTATAGATTTTTCTTTTATGCCAAAAATCATTAGGATATTAAGTAAAGATCATGTTTTGTAAATATTTTGTAAATTTCCTTGTAAACTTTTTTGATTAGTAATATGCATTGCTAAGAACTTCATTTGGTTGCAATTTTCTCAATATTTAGATTTTTTTGCACCCTCAGATTCCAGATTTTCAGTCCTATCCTAACAAACCATACATCAATGGAAAGCTGATTTATTCAGCTTTCAGATGATGTATAAATCTCAATTTCGAAAAATTTACCCTTATGACTGCTTTTGTGGTCCAGGGTCACAAATATGTTTTCAGTTGATTCAAATCCTGTTTGTGTCCTATGTAAGCGTGCAGTATCTCAGGATCTGATGCCGTGAGCTCTGTTCTGGACAGCAGAAGGTTCTGGCTCTCGTCCCGCCGTGGGTTCCTGTGATACAGTGCCAAGTGTCCATCTTACCCAGTTTGAAGCCTGTTGTTGCCTTATGCTGAACTTTCCGTGTACGGACACTCTTCCCTTTCCTATGGAAGCTTGTTTCTGTAAAAAAGTTAAATTTTTTTATCTCACAATTCTGAGGTTTTTTTTGTTTTTTTGTGCAAGTTCATATCTCATACTTCTGGCAATTTCTTCTCATAAGTCTTGAGTTTGCATCTCACAATTCTGTTGTTTTTGTTTCTGTCACAGAATTTTTCAAAACAAATAAAAATGATAACTGTGATGGTTTATCTTGCAATTCTAACTTTTTTCCTTGCAGTTGCGAGTTTATTATGACATACCAGAATTTATATCTCGTAATTCTGAGTTTATATCCCGTACTTCTGAATTTATATTTCGTAATCCTGTGTTTATTCTGAGTTTATATCTCATAATTCTGATTTTATATTTCGTAATCCTGTGTTTATTCTGAGTTTATATCTCGTAATTCTGAGTTTATATCTCGTAATTCTGAGTTTATATCTTGCAATTTTGAGTTTATACCTCGTAATTCTGAGTTTATTCTGAGAGTATATCTCGTAATTTTGAGTTCATATCTCATAATTCTGATTTTATATTTCGTAATCCTGAGTTTATTCTGAGTTTATATCTCATAATTCTGAGTTTATATCTCGCAGTTCTGAATTTATATCTCATAATTCTGAATTTATATTTCATAATCCTGAGTTTATTCTGAGTTTATATCTCATAATTATGGATTTATATCTCGTAATTCTGAGTTTATATCTCATAATTCTCAGTTTATTCTGAGTATATATTGCAATTTTGAGTAAATATCATAATTCAGACTATTTTTCAGAATTATGAGATAAAAAAAGTCACAATTACTTTTTTTATATTTTACTCTATGGTGAAATAAGCTTCCATTGTCTCATTTTACATAATTTCTCGCTTTGTATCATGTCTTCCTCTGTTGGTTCTTCCATCTTGAGTGTGAGATGAGAAGTGAAAGATCTTGCATCTATAATGCATTTACATATTTTCAAGTTTTTTATTTATACATAAAATTTATACATAAAATCATTTATAATTTACAAAGATTATTGGGGTATGTTTTACAATAAAATACTATCTCAGACGTTCTTCTTAAAAATCTCACATTTAATCCAACGTGTTACAGTACTTGCCATTTCTTTGTAAATATTTGTGAAATTTCCTAGTAATTTCCGAGTGAAAATTATTTCTAGACCAATTTTTTTCAGAACTTTAGTCTGTTAATAGGATGGCGAGTTTCTGAACGATCAGCCTGTGAGTTTTTCAGAAAACATCTTCAGCGTTCACCAACAGCAGAGCGTTTGGCGTTCTGGAGTGGCTTCATCTTCAGCCGAGCCAGATGGCCTGTTCTGGAGCATTAGCTTTAGTGTTTGTGTGCTGTTTGTTATTGGAGAGAGAAAGGCCAACGGTTCTGTTGCTCAGAACAAAATAATTTTTGCTTTTATGGGTTTATCTTTGCTTATCTATTCTATTGTAATTTTTACCTTCAAATCCTCTTACTATACTAATGTTATTTTTTAAACCATAAACTCAGAGTAAACTCAGGATTACGAGATATAAACTCAGAATTACGAAATATAAACTCAGAATTACGAGATATAAACTCAGAATAAACTCAGGATTACGAAATATAAACTCAGAATTACGAGATATAAACTCAGAA